CCATATTGGTCTGTCAGACAGTCCTTACAAAGCAATGGGGTCAAGTGTGCAGACAAGGGTACACACAATTAAAATTTTACAAGAAAAGATTTCCAGCTTGTTGCCTATAAACTTCACCACGAGGCTTCAGCCCCACGTTCAAAACAGTAAATAGCAAATTAATCTATAAAACAAACTGACCTTTCATTCAGCCAAAAGATAATATTGGTAGCTTGTTGACTGTATTTGGGCAAGCATGTTAATTCTCCAACTTGGACAGAAACAGTGAATGAAGTCCAACAAGTGGTGATATATACATAATAAATGCTTCTTACACATAAATCACATTCAGCTTATTATAGCAAACATTAAATGGAGAGGAGGAGAGATGTCATGTCACCATATAATTTGCAAAAGAAGATCTTTGCCCAATGGTGAGTTATACATTAATGGGTCTTTAAAAAATGAATCTTGATATGATGGGATATGTCCAAAGCATACAGGAGAACCAAAGGCAGGAAGCACCTTGAATATGCAGCAATGAGCTGATCCATATATGGGTCACTTTCACCCTCACATCTTCTCACGGGACCGAAGCGAGGGCTGTAAGCTGGACCCACACCATAACAGTCTCCAGCTGAGGCTTCATTGTGGCCTTCACTTCGACCTCATGCTTGAAGCCTCCAAAATGAGTATAGGCTGATTGGTGTGGACTGCTCCAGGGACTTGCCTTGCTCATATGTACCCTAATGCAGAGTCAGATGGCATAGCCCACAGTTTGTTTTGATTACTTTTACATTTATGTGTGCTAGTTTCATGTGCCTACACGGGGCCACTACTTTTCATACTATCCGCCCTACATTGTACGAGCCTTTATAACTGACCTTCATTTTTATGCTGTGAATATTCACTAGCCTTACATAGTTAATTTTCTCAGTAAATTTCAAGATAATGTTTACTATGTACTTTCTCACTCTACAGGGAGTGCAGAATTATTAGGCAAATGAGTATTTTGACCACATCATCCTCTTTATGCATGTTGTCTTACTCCAAGCTGTATAGGCTCGAAAGCCTACTACCAATTAAGCATATTAGGTGATGTGCATTTCTGTAATGAGAAGGGGTGTGGTCTAATGACATCAACACCCTATATCAGGTGTGTATAATTATTAGGCAACTTCCTTTCCTTTGGCAAAATGGGTCAAAAGAAGGACTTGACAGGCTCAGAAAAGTCAAAAATAGTGAGATATCTTGCAGAGGGATGCAGCACTCTTTAAATTGCAAAGCTTCTGAAGCGTGATCATCGAACAATCAAGCGTTTCATTCAAAATAGTCAACAGGGTTGCAAGAAGCATGTGGAAAAACCAAGGCGCAAAATAACTGCCCATGAACTGAGAAAAGTCAAGCGTGGAGCTGCCACGATGCCACTTGCCACCAGTTTGGCCATATTTCAGAGCTGCAACATCACTGGAGTGCCCTAAAGCACAAGGTGTGCAATACTCAGAGACATGGCCAAGGTAAGAAAGGCTGAAAGACGACCACCACTGAACAAGACACACAAGCTGAAACGTCAAGACTGGGCCAAGAAATATCTCAAGACTGATTTTTCTAAGGTTTTATGGACTGATGAAATGAGAGTGAGTCTTGATGGGCCCATGGCTGGATTGGTAAAGGGCAGAGAGCTCCAGTCCGACTCAGACGCCAGCAAGGTGGAGGTGGAGTACTGGTTTGGGCTGGCATCATCAAAGATGAGCTTGTGGGGCCTTTTCGGGTTGAGGATGGAGTCAAGCTCAACTCCCAGTCCTACTGCCAGTTCCTGGAAGACACCTTCTTCAAGCAGTGGTACAGGAAGAAGTCTGCATCCTTCAAGAAAACATGATTTTCATGCAGGACAATGCTCCATCACACGCGTCCAAGTACTCCACAGCGTGGCTGGCAAGAAAGGGTATAAAAGAAGAAAATCTAATGACATGGCCTCCTTGTTCACCTGATCTGAACCCCATTGAGAACCTGTGGTCCATCATCAAATGTGAGATTTACAAGGAGGGAAAACAGTACACCTCTCTGAACAGTGTCTGGGAGGTTGTGGTTGCTGCTGCACGCAATGTTGATGGTGAACAGATCAAAACACTGACAGAATCCATGGATGGCAGGCTTTTGAGTGTCCTTGCAAAGAAAGGTGGCTATATTGGTCACTGATTTGTTTTTGTTTTGTTTTTTGAATGTCAGAAATGTATATTTGTGAATGTTGAGATGTTATATTGGTTTCACTGGTAATAATAAATAATTAAAATGGGTATATATTTGTTTTTTGTTAAGTTGCCTAATAATTATGCACAGTAATAGTCACCTGCACACACAGATATCCCCCTAACATAGCTATAACTAAAAACAAACTAAAAACTACTTCAAAAATATTCAGCTTTGATATTAATGAGTTTTTTGGGTTCATTGAGAACATGGTTGTTGTTCAATAATAAAATTAATCCTCAAAAATACAACTTGCCTAATAATTCTGCACTCCCTGTATATCTATACCAGATTTGCTTATGACGTGTAAAGCATGCCTTTATTACAATTATGCTGGCATAAGCTAGTATGGTTTTTTTGTGTTTATTTTCCTAGATTCGCAATAAAAAAAAAAAAAAAACAATTTCCAAAAAAAAGTCTGTTTTCTAAGAGATGTTACAGTTCGCTTGGAAGATAACAAGTAGCATGGTTTATATCAAGTTCTGGATGGATTGATGCCTACAATACAATCTATGACTACACATACATTATTGTGCAGTTCTTTTCGTTTTCTTTCTGGTCTATTGAGATGACAGACTGCTATTTTTCTGACCTGACTTTGCTTATTCAATTATCCTGACCTCTAGTTCACTGATACGCTATGCCTAAAGGTATCCTTATTATTATTATTTTCTGTTTGTTTGCAGTCTACATTGACCCCTGACATTGTATTCAAACTACCTTGGGCTCTGTAACTCTGACCTTTCTCCCTGTCTCTGTTTTGCTTAGCTGCCCCTTGTATATAGATATTTGCATTCTAGAGACTGTTAAACATTTACGTGTCGATGTTCAAGTCGCCATCAGCATCTTCTAGCAATCATTACAGTATTGTTGGTAAGGTAATAGGAACACAACATCTGCAGTATCATCATTCTCTGTAGGGTGTGCACTTTTTTATTCCTAAACCTAGAAGTCTGATGTAATGGTTATTGTGTCTGGGGTCCCATAGTGTCGTCGGTGTAATTAGTTCGTCTTGACAACTTATCTGGTTCCCCCAAGTAGTCCCATTACATCCGGCCTCTTCATGAAAAATATACTTTGTTATACTAGTGAACAAATGGCATTGTAATAATACATATACGTACATAAGTAAGAAAGTGATATACAAAATAATGATTGCATCTTTCTAAACAGGCCAATAATTTTTAAATGGATTTCAAGATCTCTTGATTATGACATCACTGGATACAGACACATAGTCAAAATGTTGCTGTACTGTGTTGCCAAAAAAGGGGAATTTTAATTACTATAAGGAGTGCCAGGCATCATTTGCTTGTGTTTGAATTACATCCTGAAGTGGCGGAACCTGAGTCCCTGCACCTTTAGTTAATTTTAGGTGGGTGCTCTAACCGATTTCATTGTGTCAATCAAGACATGGTCTTCGGGTCCTGGCGATAATATTGGTGCATTGTGTCACTTCCACCATGGAATCAGGGCCCTCGTTCCAATGTAGATGCGGTTGTGTCAGTTTGAATGCAGTGTCACTATTACTACTTTGTGGTCGCGGCATTCTGGTCACAAACATTGTGGCAAACTTGCCCTCGCCACAAGCTCCTGGAGGAGCCTGCTTGCTAGCCTCCTGCCTCAGGGCTATGGGCCATACTAAAAGGCTATTGAAAGACTGGGTTCGTGGGATTCCCTTGGACCTTTCTGGAACCGAACCAGCGGTATTTGGGCATTGATCGCGTGGAACTATTAAAACGGAGACTGAAACTCCCAAACACCGCTGAACTTAGATGAATGCCTGCTCCTTACCCACACATGTCAGGAGAGCGCCATTCGGTAGGTTTGTTTGTTACAAACTAACACTACCAAGTAGCCAGAGTGTGCGTTCGGTATTTCTTTCACATGGAACTCCCAAAGTTGTCTCGCCAAAAGCACAAAACGCCCTGGAACTTTTTTTGTCATAGGACCATGTGTGCCGCCGGTCAGAACTTCCACACAGTGGATTCTCGGCTTTGTTTGTGGGATTTTAGTGTTTTTCGGATATAAGAAGAAGAGGGTGTCGTCCCTCCCCAGCCACAGCGGGAATACCAGGAGTGAGAGGGGGTTGTTCCCTCTTCCCAGCAGCTGAGTCCCAACCGTGTCCTGGCGGTAGTGGAGGGGACGGCAGTCCCCACGGGCCCCCTACCAGCGGAAGACCTGGCATCAGGGCAGAGTGCAGCTGGCCTCGGCCCTACCTGCCCCGTTGTTCCAGGGCATGACTACTCACAGGCCACCCCAGCAGAAGCACTGGTCTCCGGGCAGAGCACTGTTGGCCTCTGCCCTCCCCTTTTCCTTTGTCCAGGGCCTCTACAGCAGGCCACTACAGCAGAAGCGCTGGCTACGAGGCAGAGCGCCACTGGCCCCTGCCCACCAAGAACTGACAGCTCCATGACTGGGAGCCAGGAAGAGACTGGGGGTGATGGACACTACCCGCATAGTAACTTGGAAATGACAGGACAGAGCCTGGAGCAGGTTGCTGCCAGGTTAGCTGGATGTTAGTGGGTGGGTTTCCCGACTAACTCAGGTATCGACTGACAGGAGGTCTGGTACCTGGTTAGTCTTACCTTAGGAAGGGGGAGATATGTGGTGAACTTGCCCTCGCCACAAGCTCTTGGACTATGGGCCATGCTAAAAGGCTATTGAAAGATTGGGTTTGTGGGATTCCTATGGACTGTTCGGGAACCGAACCAACCCATGAACTGCGACCCTGAGCTTATTGACCCTTGTTAACCTCTCCTGACAGTTCTATTAGTGTGGGTTCTAATTGTGCAGCTGGGTGGCCGCCGTTTGCATGCACGAACGCGTGGGAACTGTGTAGCTGCTATCTTGTTCGCGAGAATGCAGGCAGTGGTGTTTGGGTGTCAATTGCGTGGTACTAAAATCGGACACTGAAACGCACCAACACCGCTAAACTTGGACGAATGCCTGCTCCTTCCCTACACACGTCGGGAGAGCGCCATTCGGTAGGCTTGTTTCTATGGTTCATCCGAACAATCAAGAAACCAAAGTGTACGTTCGGTATTTCTTTCACATGGAACTCCCGAAGTTGACTGGCCATAAGCACAAAACGCCCTGGAACTGTTTTGGACATAGGACCATGTGTGCTGCCAGTCAGAACTTCCACACGGTGGTGTTTTGGCTCTGTTCGTGGGATCTGAGTGCTTTTCGGATATGTTGGGCTCTCAGATCCAGGCTATCCGGGAATGTATAGACTGTGGGTTTTCCTATGTGGGGAATATGTGTTTTTATGGTTTTTCATATTTGTTGTGATGACAATGCATTTAGATGACATTTTGTGTGTGTGTTTATGGGCATGTTTTGGGGAGTGTCTACTGTACCAGATTCTGTATAAATGTGAGATAAACAGTTCTTCTTCACCTTTCACTAAGCCTCGGCTCGTGTTTGGGTGATACTGCGGTTACCCCTTCAGCAATACTATAATCACTGGCAGCTATAATCACTCTTGAGGTATCACAACTAGGAAGGGGCAAACACAGGTGGTAGAATCCCATCTTCAAGAGGGTATACCGCTACAAACATAAATAAAGTGATCTTCGTGCCTTTTTATTTGTTGCCATCCTGTCTGATGCATTAATAATAAGACCTGTATAAACTTGAGGAATTTAAGGTGCTATGCCCTTTTTTTGGTTTCTATCATGCTTAAGAGTGGTATACTGTTCCTAATTCTTATTATTGACCAGGCAGGGCCAGCGCCACCGTTAGGC